CTTCATAGATTTAGAGCAACAGCATACTTCAATGGCCCCTCTATTGAAAGCATAGTACCAAATCAGTTTTATATGATAATATATTTAGGCACAGAAAATGTAACAGATTGGCCACTCAGATAAATTATATATTTTTATTTAATGTAAAGGTTTAGGAAAACAGCGATTTAAAGGTACACCTAGCTTTAGCTATATTGAGATAGGATTCTAATCTATGTCTTCAGATTTTTGGCACTGTGAAAAAAAAAAAAAAAAAAGAACTATTGCACTGTTCTTTTTTAATTTCACTCTTTTGCTCTTTCCCACCATGAAAACAATAGCACACTGTGAGCCCGGTAGTAAAATTGGCCTAGAACCGCTACTGGGTTTTATGCTCCATCACTTTAAACTAAATAAAAAGATTCACATTTCATTCTATTGGGTAGGTTTTAATGCTTTTAGTCCATTATTGTGGTTTGAAAAACTTTGTGTGGCTGCCACAAATTCTCCTGTTGGGTCAAAAGTTTGCATTGACTGCAGCTCATAATTTCAAACAGATTTAATCATTTTACATTCTGAGTTTTGTGTTATACATTACGTCACATGCTTTTTGTGGGCAGATACACTTTATACGTGAGACCTCTGGTCAGAAGTGAGCAGTGGGTAACTTTTTCCGCTATGTGCAAAATGTGGGGCAGAGAGCCTCCACTGCACATGGTCCTGGTCACAATCTACCTGGCAGCATTATGCTTTCTGAAGGTAAATGAAAGCAGATGAAGCTCAATATAGGGTAGTCCTGGAAAATAAAACCTGTGGGTAAATGTAAACAACTTTGAGAATGGAGCATAAAATGACAATACATAACATAACCGCTTCTTCACAAAACAGCAGAACATCTTGAGTCACAAAACAGGCAACTAACGGAGACTCTTCCTGACCACTACATTTATAACAATGCTTTGGAAAAATTTGGCAAGGAGCTCCTATTATTTCAATATTTAATACTAAAAAAGCGATTTTGAATGAAGTTGTTTTATTTTGTAAAAATCTTGTATCTATTCACAAATTAAATTCTAAATTTAAAATGGAAACAGATTAAATTCAAATCTATGGTCAAACCATTTCAAAAATGCATATTGTGACTGACTGTATCAAATGCAACCTAAGTACAGATAAAAGTCCATTATCTGAGGCCATGAAAATATAGTTAGTGACTTTCACTAGTCAATTCAATTCAGTTTATTTCTATAGCGCCAATTCACAACACATGTCATCTCAAGTCACTTTACAGTTCATCAGATCATCCAGTCAAATTGATTCAAAGTTTCTATCTAAGGAAAACCAGTTGATTGCATTGACTCATTGACTCAAATACAATCCCTCACACTAAGCATGCTTGTAGCGACAGTGGAGAGGAAAAACTCCCTTTTAACAGAAAGAAACCTCCAGCAGAACCAGGCTCACTGTGAGCGGCCATCAGCTGAGGCCGACTGGGGTTCAAGGAGACAGAAGCAGAGATGCAAAAGCCAACTGTAAAAGGCGGCCCCGTCCAAGAAACATACAGCCAGGCAAACGAGCTCTGAGTCAGCTATCATGTCAGAGGATGAAGAGAGCCCATCCAGCTAGTCACAGTAAGAGAAACTGGACTTGACTGAAAAACAGGCCGATTTCCAACATCTATACACAAAGGTGTTGATGGCAGCAGCACAGCTGATATTTCTCTCCAGGATGGAGAGAGTCACTTATGATATTTGCAAGTTCTTTTCATGAATTTTGAAAAGAAAGGAATACTAGATACAGGTCTATAATTTTAATGAGTCATTTGGTTTTGTTCAAGACAATTTATCTCAAGTACATAATTTACAAGGAAAGGAAACTGCAGGTATTTGGATTTAAATTAAACATTTTATTATTGCTGCCTTAAATGCCTGTAACACATATTGTTGTATTAGAGATGTTTTAATCATATTTTAAAGGAGGTGTCAAGTAACAAACTATAAATACTTGGTTACTGTACTTAAGTACACTTTTTAGGTACTGATTTTTCTTCCTACTTCTGACTTCTACTCATTACATTTTCACACAATTATCTGTACTTTCTATTCCTGACATTTTTAAAATAAACGTTACTCGTTACTCTTGGCTTTGGTTTAATGTTTATAAATATTTATTTCACATCATGTGGGCCATCCAATGCAGATCATTGGTGCCATTCACATCTAGTGAAAACTACTCTAATTGGATGAATCATATAAAACAAACACTCATTGGTTAGCTATTCGTCAAATTTATGCTGACACCAAAGGAAATCATTAAAAGCAAGCAGGTGTTCTTCAAACTGCAATCGCGAATTATCTATGCCATGCTACAACATCGGATTTAGAAAAAGATTTTGAAATGTCTGAAAGGTCGGACGAAGGCGAGAGCGTATTGGGAGACAGAGACCAACAAGACATCCCTCATTCTTGGTTACTTTATACTTTTTATACTTTAAGTAGTTTTTTGAGCACAACCTTTTCACTTTTACTTAAGTAAAGAGGTCAAGTTGATAGTTCAACTTTTACTAGAGTGTTTTTAAACTGCAGTATCTATACGTCTACTTAGGTAACAAATGTGTGTACTTTTGACAACACTGTATTTTAAATTGGGTAGAATTCAAAGGAAATACTTCAATAATTTGGAAGTTGTGGGTTTAGTTAAAGCTAAAGATAACAGTCCAAAAAGAGTTTGGGTTCTATGATTACCTTTATCTAGGCCTTCTTTTCATAATAAATAGAATCTTATTTATAAAGAATCTCATAGAGTTATTCCTGCTAATAGCTGTAGACAGCTTAGCAAAGCTATGAAAGTTTGGCAGCTTTATTACAAAGAAAACTTTAACGTTTGTTATTAGCCTTTACTAACGAAGTGAAATATATTGATTTTTTTTTTATGTGGGGCCATATTATACATTCTCATCTTCTAAGAATAATAATTAGAAACAATTAAATGAAATTACACACAAATAAGATATCCATTTAGCATGTACACACCAAAATAAAGGGATAATACAATTCTTGGTAAAAGCTATTTCTAACTACGCTTACATAATTTTCTCTTTCCATCACCAAGGGAAACTAAAGTGTTATGAAACTCTAATAACATCATGTTATGGTAATCTCTTGTATAATGTCACAAATGCTCAAAAGTGTCATTTATGCTTTACAGAAAGTTACTGTTGTGCTTCTAAGCCTGACCAAGAGTTAACAGCTGCTTGCAGAGAGCGACACATTCTCAATGATTATATTTTGCGATCAGTTCAAATATTGAGCCAACGTGGCTTTTATCATTTGTTGTGCTGTTGGAGTAAAACCTACTTACGCAGTGATAAGAGATATTTTTCTTCTGCTTTTCAGAAAGTGTGTCAGCTGATATTAGCTTGGGGTGAGAGCAAATCAGCTCCGAGTGCATTGCGGAAACTTTGACAAAGCAGGCGGATAATATTAGCAAGAACTGTGAAAAATACAAACTTGAAACATGTTGAAAATTGATAATTCCAAAGATATCAAGAATTTTGTCAAAGCAAATGGTGTTCTGC